TTAATAGGTGGTCAAGGGGAGGTAGTATATGATTAAATTTTGATGCTATACAAAGAATTCTGGCTTCACAGTCAGGGATGGTAGATGGTCGGGGTAGATAGTTAGGGAGGGTGGAAAATTAATGTGGCATATGCTGAACAGGTGTCAAACACCTATATAATTAATTCATGTTGGACACCTGCTGACCTTTTTTTTGCTGACACCCACCAACCTATTTGCAACACCCACTGAGCTGCAAGCCCACTCCGCCCTCCTACTGAAATTATAGTCTATGAACTCCTGGACAATTCTGATGATGCTTTACACCTTCTACATTACTGCAAGTTACTCTATAGGACTTCTAACCCTTCAAATACCTAACTAAAAATCCCCTACTCCATTACCACACATCCTAAAAACCACTAAGTATTCAGCTCTAACAGTGAACTAGGGGAATGCTAAGCATCATGCACTTAATCTCACACTATATCAGTAGCCAGACTACTTCCTACAGCACCTACGGAGTAGTTATCTAGAGTTTGCCTACTGCAGCAATTTAGGAAGGTTGCTAGCATGCAATGTATCCTTTTTAATTTCTACTGCAACACATACATACAAACATCTTACTCCCTATCACCCTGGAAGCCAGTGAGGAGGGAGAGGATCATGTAGCCTCTTTCTCATCTACTGGGCGATTTGAACCCCATTTCATGTGGTTATTCCTGCGCCATCCGCAAGGTCTATAGGACTCACATGCACATGCTCTTCTAACTCATTCCTTCCTCTCTGGAACTGCAACCTCCCATGACCCATAGGCGTTAATGAACTCACCTAGAAGCTTAATTCTTCACTAAGTATAAATTTTCCTTAACTTTATTCTTACTTCTTGTTTCCTTTGCCCCTAGCTCCTTCATACTAATCCATTGCAATGTCTGGCCCTGGTGATTTTGATCATCTCTCTGGCACCAGAGTTATCTTTGATAAGGGCCCCCAGACTTGGGTACTAGATGAGAAGATTGCTGAAGATTACCAAACAATGAGCCAGGACGAAGTCGATGATGGCATTGGCAATCCTTACGCAGCTATCAAATTCGCCTGCCACAATGCCGCCGATCCTAACCAGAAGGGCATTCTGCGTATTTACATCCAGATTCCTATCACTGGAACGATTGCTCGTGGCCCTGGAGCTAGAGCACAGCAGGCTATCGCTCAGCGGACACATATGGAAGGGACGGTCTTACAGAGTCTTACAGACAAGGGGTGCAAGGTAGTTCCCAAGCTCCTTGGCTATCAGGAGAGCAATCAAGACGATGAAGGCTGTGTACCCGGCGGGTATATCAACTATATCGTCTGGGCTTGTGTACCTGGGGAATCAATTCGCGCTAAGGAATTTTGGGATCGAGACCGAAAATACCGTGATGAAGTCCGCGAGAAGTTCCGCGAGTCTGATGAGTATGTTAAGCTCTGCCATTTCTGAAGCCATTCTAATATAGTTTAGGGAGCTGAAGAAGTTTGGATGGTCGCCCAGAATCCCCCACCTAGGGAATATCATCTTCGACGAAGCAACCAAGGCGCTGTAGGTCTCCTTGAGTCTTTTTTTTCCCAATGGTTGTCGATTGAGAGCTAATTTATTGTCCAAAGCCATATTTCGGGCTTTTGTTTCCCTAAAGTTCTTGACAGCTCCCAGCCTTTCACGGATGTGACGTACGCTGGCTGGGGCTTAGTGAAGCGATCTCAGAACCCTGACTGGTATCTCAACAGCAAAGAGTGGGAGTGGTAACAGCCCTTCCTCTTCCTAGAAAGCATTCTTAGCTCTCTCTTCACGTTGAAATAACTGAATTATCATAATCCTACTTGCTAGATTTCAACAATGCTTTTAGGGTATGACCCACTTTAGAGTGTTTCCTCACTAAAACACAGTAATATTGCTATCTGTCCTCCAAATACATGTAGCTATTAACTATCACCCTTGTAGCTCGGGATCTTTACTCTGAAACCTTCTTATGGTTGGCTGAGTCTGTGGGACTATTCACGCATATGCACTTCATTTCAATACTAACCCCGGGGTCCTTGACCATGTTGATAGTGTGGGATATACACTAGCTTTACTTATATTCAAACTATTGTATCCATTGGCATTAAATTCATATCTCAGATGAAATTACCCAAACAAGAACCAGACCGCATGTGGGTCAGATTTTGATAGGCCTTTACGAAGACCATCAAAAGGGAACAAAGGAGGGCACACGCTTTAGAACTATTGACTTTGCCAATGGGGATAAAGAGGACCCGCTGGTTCAACTCAAGATGTGGGAGATTACCACTGCAATTGAGCGCGAGCTCATCCAGAAAAAGGCTAGTATCTTGGACTTCAGGTGGTCCTTGATGGGCCGCGATGCTCCAACCCCACAACAGCCATAGGCACTTACGTATACAGCCACGCACTAGGTACACAGGATAACTAGATGTGCACGTATGGCAGGGATTCCCTATCATTGGTGGACATCAATTCATGGGGACGATGCTTGATCGACAAGGTCATCTCTCATTTTTTACGACCATCTTGACTGTATGTATTTCATAGGCTCCAAGTACGAGTATGTAGTGCTCGGTGACATTCAAATGGGTGGAAGGGAGGTACGGACGAGAGAGAAAACGTCCTCAGCGAAAAGAACATCACATCGTCTCCAGTGGCCTCATCGAAGCTGTCGTCTCCATTGGAAATTCATACAAGAAGCGAGCGTAGGATCCAAAAGGAACCCCATTGAGGACGATCCATCTGAAAACAGTATGTGATCAGTAAGAATGCAACTTCGTCAAGGAGATACATCTGGAAGTATCATTCCAAGGCAGAGTAGGAATATGTATGAGTCTAAGATGAAGTTCAGCGAAGATGCCGTCTTAGAAAATGGAATGGAATGCGTTTGAGACGGGGGATATTGGCAACAAGCGTGACCTGGTAGATCAGCGCAATGGTCTCTTTGCTAATTGTTCCCGGCGAGTTGGCCTTACGCAGGCTGCTGCTGAGGATTGTGTGACCATTTTCGTTGCCATTGCCATCCAATTGCTTGGCCTTAATACACAGCCAGCAATAACACGCCTTATTCCCAGGATGGTATCATCGCACTTCGAGCTTTGACAAGCTCCTGCCCGACAGCCCAGGATCTCGAGCGCAATTGAGGAGAATCGTGTTATGGCCTAGAGAGGAACTGGACCCTCAAGTGTCACGCATTTCCAGATCGCGGACCGCCGGCTGCGGCGGTGCGACTTCGTTGAAGGGATTGTGCTGCTCTGCAAGTTTCTCAAGTTGAAGGGCAAAGGCTGTCGTCGAGAACTTTCGAGAGACGGAGTCGTATGTCATCCAAAGATTGAACTGTACCTTGTTAGCAATTGCACGCTCCTTCACCGCGGTCTTTCTGACATACCGTCGCGATTTTGACTCCCAGCCAAAGGCACCTGTACATCCTCGAAACGTTCAGAGAGGGTAGCTCAATGAAACGCCCCTCATCCTCGATGAGAGAATTTTCAAAGAAATGAGGAGGAAAGTAGAGCTGACTCCAGAGCTGACCACGTATGAAAAAGTCCTCCGGCAAATGCTTCCTCTCCTCCACTGTAGGAAAATTGGGGCCTTCGACAATTCGAGTATCCGTATCATCGCGAATCATGGTATTGAGGAAGGTGGCGATCCTTCTCCACGGAACGAACGCTTCGATGTATTCTATGCTGCTCTTGCCGTTTAGTGCTAGGCACCAGAGGAAGGCCAGAGAGATATGCACAGTGGGATAAATGTTCTTGTTTCCGATCTGGTCAAGAAGGACAGACAAGGTCTGAAAGGTCAGGCACGACCCGTAAAGACTAAGTGTCGAATACTTTGAGCCATCTTTGGATGCCATTGAACCAGCCTCGTTCAGATGGAGGTCACAAGTGGGAGTCCACGTTTTTGCGGATGTCAGTTGGGTCTCCGACGAAGAAGATCCCCCTTGATGGATTCTTGCTGGGTGGAACTTGGCAGGTAAGGCAGCGTCCGGGTGATTGTATTCGAATATGGCTGCGAAATTGCACGAGGACATGTAGACGCCCTGCATCTTGAACGCGGCCCCCATTCGACCGACATGAGTGTCCAAGTGTGCCAAAAAGTCCTCCACTGATTTGAAGAACTGAGGCGCCGGGCTGCGATAGAAAAGATAGCCATGAGCTGCAACAAAAGCCGCAATGACCGGATAGTGGTGATGTGCTTTTGGCGCATTCAGAAGCGGATTGAACAATGACGGTATGCTTTCCCTCGTGCTCGGAAAAGAGTGTACACTGACTAAAGACTTTGTATAGTAGAACAGCTGCTGGACTATATCCGGGCGAGCTAGGACGGCAAGGTGATGCTGTATTCTGCCAACATCAGGATTCTTATCTGCCGCCTTGTTGTACCAGTATCTGGCGACGCCAGCCCAGACCTCACGGTCCCGCAGGTCCACCTCTTCTACTGCCATTCTATATCGTGCTAAGTCGCCGAGGCATTCGATCCAAGTCTCTTCAAAGGCGCGGACACTTTCTAATAGCAGAGTCATCATTGAGTAAGCCATGTAAATGAAAGTCAGCATATGCTCTAGGGAGTCAGGGAGCCGATGGCGCAGTAGTTCTAGGAAGGAATGGATCCCGTAACGCCACATACGAGCCGGCATGGCATATTTCTCTGCCAGTCTTTTAAGCACAGGACTCGCGGACGGATGTTGCGAGGCTAGAAAGAAGTCGTGGTGCTCGTTCAGCAGCGTTCGATGTAAGGCAATCAGGGCCTGCCATTGGAGTGGGGACAGCGCAGTCTTCGACTCAGACTGTTGCTTGTCGATTTCAATGCACTTCTTCTCCACCATGACGAGCCCGGCGTAGATTCCGCGCACTTCATTGATCAATTGCTCTTCTGTTATAGGATGAGTTTCTGGCTGTAAGGAGATCCCCTGTGATGCTGTACCTCCGGCTACCGCTGAGTCACCTCCAGCGGATTTCTGATCAAAGCTCAATCCTTCCACCGATTCCGCCGGTTGCCCCTTGGGCCGTGCAGCGAGTTTCTCTTGCCTGACACTTGGCTGAAGAGTCGATACGCTTTCATGCTGGACGGGGCTTGCGCGCATCTGTTGCGCATCGGGTTGCGACACCTCTCGTCGCCACCTCCTGGCAAGATCGTCCGCGGAGTATGCTGAAAATCGAGGCGGTCGCGTATCGCTCTTAGACGGACTACTTTGGTGAGTTCCACTTTCGCCTGCTATGCGATTGCCGGAGGGGCCCAGCATGTGGGCAGAGAGTCGTTGTCCGGTCTTTGGTTTCTGCTGGCGACCGTTTAAGAAGTGAGGTGACGCAGCCTCGATGCTCTGGCCTGAAGCGAAACCTTGGTTGCTAAGAGCCTCCGAGTCGGAGTTTTCTGGCATAGCCCCCGCGGAATACGGCCTCTTCACGGAGAGCGAGGGGCTGGCCGAATGGCGCGCCAGATCGGTAATCGGAGATGCCACAGGAGACGCATTGTCGGCGGGCAATCGACCGATTGATCTCCTAGACAACTCGGTCAGTAGATGAAAGGTAAATGGACAGATACCTTGGAAGAGGAATAATGCAGTTGCCGACAGAAATACTTACTTGGAAAAGTCGCCGGTCTTGTTTGCGATTCTGGGAGAATCGATCGATTGGTCCTTGCTCCTGATGTGGACGTTGGGGTGATCTGGAACAATTCCCGATTGCTGATACGTAAATCGGTTGCTCATTATTATTCTCAAAGGATTTTAGAGTCAATCTGGAGCATGTCATCTGATTGATTTCTCCCCATCTGCATCAGCTGATATGATCCACATCCCAGCTTAGAAGAAAGGTGATGGATGAAATTGGAGTTGGTGAGAGGGGCACGGATCTGTGTTGTCCAACGGTTGAGTGAGTACATGACAGAAAGAAACAGGCACAGCTTTGAAACATAAACTCCCCCCAAAACACAACAAAGATGGAATACGAAATGGAATGAAAACAAACAAAAAAGACATCCTCGAGGCTGCCCACTCTCGGACAGGGAAAACCAACCATCACCGCCAAATTCAAGCGACAGATCCTTGATGCCAAGCAGAGGAAGAGGTGCACTCACGATGCCAGGCGAAGAAATACAGCGAAGAATGAGGATATGGATATTGGTGACGGCACTTACCTAGGGTAGCTATTGAAGCAGACGGCAGCTTATTTATAGCTCTTGATTCAGAGAAGGTCGAGCGCGATGGACGATGATGATGACTCTACCAGGTAGATAGGCAACTAACAGGCTCCATCCGTTTTGGCGAACAGGCAGGTCGGAGAGCCACACTACCTTACTGTACCTTACTTCCAATTCACCTGCTCCTGCCTAACTCCGGACCTTAGGTAGAAATGCACAGGTCGTAAGCATGGATTGAATATCAACACCGATCTAGCCTAATAGGCAGTTTGCTTCCAAGGCTGGTTTGTGGAGAGAGGGAGTCAAGTCGGATGACCGAGATGGTGGTGGTGATGGTGATGATGACGATGATGATGATGCTGGTAACAACAACAAAAATAACCACGGGAATTAGACTACCTAATAGGAAGTAAATAATCAATAATCAAGCCCCAATATTGGCGGATTATTGGCTGGGTTACTGCCCTGATTTGAGATTGTTATTGTCATCTCTCTATCGAGTAAGTAGAATAGATACTTTTTCATGATTTTAGATCGACCTGGTTGCCTTGTCATTGTGAACTTTTGAGTCTACCTAGTCTACATTATTATCACTAAGGTTAAGCGATCCTTGTCTATCTCTTCTACCTCAACATGGGATATCACTGATCTACTTGAATCAGCCAGTTCCGGAGAAAGTTGAAACCAAAGGACCTAGGGAGATAGATAATATTTCTCTTTTTGCCCAATGTTCAAGGACGGGTCGTCAACCCGATTCAAAACAATTGAGATACTTTAGTAGTAAAGTAGCGTACATTATTACTGACGATCCACCAAGGAATTTTCTCGAACATCAAAACATGGGCTAGACACCGAGACATATTACAAATGCATTTAAACGCTTTATCTTCACCATACGGAAGGCAATTATCTAACTCCAAGTCTAAGGTTCACTCTTTTATGATCATTCACCAGCCGTACAGGTCATCCCAATCTCACCTAAAATACCATCCGAGATTGCACTGAGGAGCGGACATGGTGTAACTCAATGTCGACATATCCTTTTCCCTTTCGTCAAGGCCCAGTTTCTGCTGTTTACCGATAGTCGTCCGGTGACTGTTTGCTTTGGTGAGGATTATTACATCGCACCCTGGAAACTATGAGTGGTCTGATTTACAACAGCCCAAGAACGATGCAGTCTATGCTAGGTACCTACCAGACAATCACAAGCAGCATTTCTCATGACTCAATACTCAACACATCGCCCGATACAGCAGAAATACGAGACTGATTCAGATCCATCCGTAGCCTGGCCGTTTTGCCTTGTTTTACCCAGCTTCTAGACCTTATCCAATATCCATAGGCTTTTGCGCAATGCCACCCGCGCTTCTTTACCCTTGATCTACCATCATCCCGAACGACCGCGACAAAGATACACAGTACCTTCTTTAACCCGATAAGGCAACATCAGGCAGCTACAGTAGGGCGTTCGGATGGAATATCCTCATATGTCTAGTATGGAGAAGCCCGATCCATGATCAACACGCCACGTGCAACATGCTCAGACCCATTCGCCCGAGACAGAAGACAGGCAGATTGAGGCTTTCCTGCCCTTTTCCCTGGGACCCTGAACGGCTGGATCCGCCAGAGGAGGCAGTTAGGAATTTTGATCGTGTATATAGCTGCGGGATTGTAATGATGACACTCGATTGACAATTAGCTTCTAGGATACCATGGGTAGGTAGCATGGAGAACGGCGGCATAGACCTCTACCACTGTCTCCTTTGCTAGTTGCTACCGTACCTACGAACGGAGGATATACACAGTGCTGATAATGTTTGTTTGCCGGGAAAGGTTAAGCGCGGTGAATGAGCTACTGGATAGAAATGGTTGCCTTGTCTGTGCGACTGCGAGATTGCGACCCATTGCCCCCTTCCACGGATATAGGTAGAAATATTGGCGACAGAGTCCTGAGATGAACCAATGACGTTTCATATCAATCTCATGAGCCCTTTGATGGATGTACCTTATTATCAGGTACCTTGTTGATTCCTGCAATCGAGCAGCTTCCATGATCCATGTCAAGGTGGATTGTTGCCCGGGTAAAAACGCCATGCAACCGTTCATGGTCCTTCACAGTCTTCGGAATATACTTTCCTACTTCGATGCCTTAGGCACAAGCCCTTAGCTTGCCAGTTGGCTGTTTCAAGTATTTTCAAGAAGCTAAGGTACTCTTCAGATACGAAAACACCACGCCATCCGGCGTCATTGCGCAACCATGTCTCTAGGCTCGGTGCTGACTCCAGTACTGCAGAGACCGTGATCGGATGTCTGCCACCACGCAGTACGGAGTATTCGCATATGAAATTATGAATGGCCAGTTTTCACGTCCGTGTTTGCCTGCGACTACGAGTCTTATATCCGAAAGGCAACGGCACTGCGAAATTCTAGTGGTGTTTTGCCCACAGCCTCTTCAGACCTCCGTGTCTTGACTGCCTCTGGCGTGATCATGAGATTCCTATTATTAGGCCACTCACCCGTCACCAGTCATCCCGTCATTGTTCAAGTCGCCTATCTATGGTTATGATTGAAACAAGTGACCGCGGAACGGATATGGTCATCATCGGCATAGCCGAAAATGTTCGTCTCAAATTTATTCTCTTCATTACACAGTTCAGTGTCATCGCCGCTGACGATGACTTATGCACAGAGCAAATGACGCGCTATTAGCCGAATTTAGTAGATGATTAAGATTCTGCTCAAGCAACAAGAAAATTTCGGAGAGTCACACACTGACAGAGCGAAGCCCCACAAACAGTTTGAGTGTGCTTGTGAGGGCATAAAGTCGAATCGGAAATGCCACCCTTAAGTGACGCTTCTGTTTTGCTGTTCAAGGCCGCGGCAACAGCTTCTATCGCGTGGCTTTCCCGGGAGCCGCGCTTTGGGTTTCTCGCCATATGGCAGAGTAATCGCGACCTAAGGATAGCCCGGGCGGCAGTTGGAAGGATCGTAGTAGGAAGTAAGACCAGGCATATTAAGGCAGCTTGCGGTGTCAGGACAAGTAGATTCGCATCTAAACAACAACCACGTCAGCGCTATTCCTTATCCGAATCCGATGCCGTACCTTGGATTTGACGACTCCACGACACATAGGGCAAAGGGGCCGTCCCTTGACCCGATTTTGATCGAGTCGACTAGACGGCATGTGCTGCTCAGCGCACCAGCGGCAGAGTATCGCGTGACCGCATGGGATTATCACGGTGTCTACGAGTTGACTCATACAGATCTTGCATTCGAGGTTGACGGTCAATTCATTGTCTTCTTTGGGCGCGGGACGACCATCCGTCACGTCATCGAGGCCTTTGGGAGTCGGTGGCGCACGATCAACGATGCCATCGTCATTCAGCGAGTGCTGTCGGTGGCTCCCATGAACGGCACCACCAGTGCGCATACTGCTCGTGTATGCTTGCAGCTCCGCCAATCGTTGGATCTGAACATGATCTTCCGGCGTGAGATATGTGAAATAATGCGGTGCTCCCATCGCCATCGTAGGATTGGAGCTTGTGGCAGTCGTCACGGCTGGTACTCTGGGCACTTGAGAAGTCGAGAGGCGACGTGGGAGCTGCGGATTCGCTACATCTGCAGGGCGCGTGCGTCGACGTGCAGTCTGGCCGACAGACGGAGCTTGCTGCTGCCCCGGCACTGAGCTTGCAGTGGAAGAGGAGCTCTGCGTCCGATGATGCCGTCTGGGCTGGTTGGTCACCGGTGAGACGCCCCATTGCGGGAATGGCATATAGGGATTGGGACGGGTGTAAGTTGGCTGAGAATAGACAGGTCGATATCCCACACTTGCGTAATGCTGAGTCTCTAACTGTGCGGGACTATTGATCGAGTTTTGTGGCATCATTTGGTAAGCTGGCGCTGTCACGTTTTGTGGTCCTGAGGGCTGTAAATTGGATCTCTGCTGCACTGCGATCTGGTGACTATTTGGAAACAACGACCCCGGTGGTTGAACAGGCGCTGTCCGTACATGAGAATAACTATGTCTATGGAAATCAGCGAAATGTGGGGGATCCCAGTAACGCAGGCTGGCTTCTTGTTGGTCTCGATTGTGATCGATCATACCTCCCCATAGGGAGTTCTGGCCTGCTATAATCTCTCCGTGGGTTTGTTGGGCCCCTGCATCCACCGCAGTTATTGTATCCTGGGAACTGGGTGGCGGGAAGTTGAGGTCTCCGTCGTGTATCAAAGCGAGGTACTCATCGGCAAGGGAAGTTGCAAACGGATTGATACTCGGATCTTCATAAATTGTTAAGCCTAAGACATTGGTTCCAACCGAGGCTAGGGGTACTCACTTTGACCGTCGAGATGAGGATTTGCAGAAGCGTCCACGGCACCTGATGCGTTATTATGCATGGCGATTTGCGGGTCCACAGCCCCATGGCCGCTGGGATCCTGCATGTTTGAGAATGTTGGAGGAGCCATATTGCTGGAGTCCTCGACAGTGGAACGAGATAGCTGCACGTCCATGCTCGAAGGCATCAATTGATAGCCCGGGTAGCAGGTGTACTGCGTTGCAGGTTGATAGGTCAGTAGCGCTTCGCTCAGGAGCTGCAAGTTATTCAGAATTCTCGTGATCCCCTGATGGATGGCGTGCAGTTCCTCTCGAAGATTGTCGATGTTATCGTGGCGGGATTTTCTGCGATGCAGAGATCTCGTCGGCTCTAGAGAGATGGAAGGAGGAAGGGTGGAAGGAATATCGAAAGACAGCCTGCGTGCGTTGGCACTTGCAAGAGAAGCCTCAACAGGGTATTCTTGTTGATTGTGAATGGAAGCCTGCCTGCCGGGACGGCTAGATGAAGAGTGAAAACTCCAGTATTCTAAATCACAAGGACTCAAGCCAGTGAGCGATTGCTTTAGTGAATGAAGCAAGCAAGCAAGCACGCAGATAATTACACTAAACAAATGTGGTCAAGCGAGTATAAGCGAAGCTGCACATGATAATCAAACACAAAGAACTCAAGGAACTAGTGAATGAACAAGCTGAAGAGGTGGTTGATGGGGAGGGTGGAGCGGGGGGGGAGGAGAAGACGGACCCTGGCACTTCCAACAGTACCTTGTAGAAGAAGTTGTAGTATGCCTCGGTGTGTTGCCGGCATTTGCAGAAGACAAGATCCTCCCATAAGAAGCACTCGAATGAATGTCCAGACACGAGCAACAGACAGGTGAGCTCAGGTGGAGACAGCCGGTGGCATGCTTATGGATACAACAGGGATTGTTTGATAGAGAAACCCAGGCTAACATGATTCAAGTAGTTATGGATAACGTGCAGATGGGGACAGATAGCCTTATTCCAACCAGATTCTGGCGTAATACTGTGACAGTGTCAAATACCAGCCACAATGCAGATGGCGGACAGTCCCCAGTGTCTTCTTAAATATAGTGAAAACATTTGATCATTCGCCTAAGTCAACGACATCAATTGGCTGGAAATCATCTTGTGGATTAGTCTTATACGGAGCTCGGAATCAGGACCCTTCAAGGCTGACAAGGCCCTAGAGAAGGGGCAAAAAAGAAAGCAACAAGGAGAAGGTGGATGAGAGGATAAAAGGAAGAGTTAAAAGAGAGCCAAAGAGCCCCAGGAGGCGACAAAACTTTTGCCCTGATAAGGCACTGCAATCAGCCCGGTGAGAACTAACAATGGTTGAATGACACGCAAGAGAAGGGCAGGGTCTCCCGGAGTTTTCGACTCAGGCCCGTGGATGTTGCCAGAGAAGGATCCCTGATAGTAATTGTAACCAGGCAGGGAGGAGCCAAACGGAGCAAAAGTACGACCGTAGCATACATGGAATCTCTGACGTCTGGCCAACGTTGATGAAATCGAGACCGTACCGACCGTCAAGCGATATCGGGAAGATGCGCGCGAGACGGGTCTGCACTGCGCCGTGGCCAGAGAGGGATTGGGGGGAGGGAAAGGGAACCTTCAGTATGGAGTATTAATAACGGATGATGAGGGGGAAGGCGAGCAAGGAATGGACAGGACATAAAAGGTCCTGTCCAAAGCCGTCCAATTATCAAACCCGCCAACTGTGGCGGGTGGCAGGGAATAGGAAGCGCGAGGAAATCCGTCAAGCAACGAAGCTCCTTTGGCGGGTGTCACCATCTGACCCCGCAGGATGATCGATCAGAGTTGTATGGCACATGTTACTCCGTAGATAAACTAGATAATAGATATCCGGGATCAGGTATGTAGATTATTAGCCGAGTCAGCGACGATGGAATGATCGGTTGACCTATCCGGGTAGTCCGCGATCCTAGTGCTCCTACGGAGTAGTTAGAATCACTTCACGAGGAATGAAATGATGATGATAAGACTAGACGGAAAAAGAATGAGTTCCGTAGCGACAATGCGAGGACCCAAGATACCACGGAGCAAGAGGAAACGAACACGGGGAGTGATTCCCGCAGCAATTTGTCAACGTCATTTATCACTGTCTCTATTCTCCACTGAACTCTATCTATCATCTGCTCGAATGTTTTTCCACGGTCTCCTAGCCCAGTAAAATCAAACAGTTCATGTGATGGTCTGTTATCTGTCTGAGATTCCTTGGGTCACGCTGTTCATCTTGTGGTAAGCAAACTCTCTTCTTACGAGTTCTCGACCAACACACGCGCTTCATGAGGAACAGGCTGTGGCTGTCCGTGCGGCATCTGCATCCATCTTGCTTTTCCGTTCCCATCACACTGCCAGTCACAACCAGGTCAATGTCGAGCTTCACTATTCCTCTTGACGAGGGCAATAGATCTGTGTCTGTGCCGGTCAACTCTCTTAGCGATTTGAGCAAGGACGACCTACTACGTTTTCCAGCCTTTCAGATCTGGCTTTCCACCCTTCAGCGATCGTTACAGCGACAACACCATCCGTCCCATGAGTTCAACCACAACCCCTATGTTTTACGGAAGATCAATGTTCAATCTGTGGATTACTTCAAGGGCGGCAGGTTGGGGTTTGTTAAGATCAACGCAGAAGTTTCCAATGGAAACGGGGAAACGCTTCCGGGAACGGTCTTTCTGAGAGGTGGTAGTGTGGGAATGTTGGTATGAATAACAACAGTTCATCTCTGTACGATGCGCATCAGATTGCCGAAACATTGTTCACTGACCATCGTGATGCTTGTGCGATAGATAATCCTCCAGCCCGACGATGTGCCTTCATCGAATGAGGACGAGAAGCGAGCGATTCTGACCATTCAACCCCGAATCCCAGCCGGTTCCCTAGCTTTCCCCGAGATCCCAGCCGGTATGATTGATGATAGTGGAACATTCGCCGGGGCAGCCGCGAAAGAGATAGAAGAGGAAACAGGATTGACAATACCTCAAAACGAACTTGTCGATATGACCTCTCTGGCGCTGCAATTAATTTCGGAGCCAAAGGACGGCGAGTCTCTGCAAAGGGCAGTCTATCCGTCCCCCGGAGGAAGCGATGAGTTTATTCCCTTGTTTTTGTGCCAAAAGAGGATGCCACGCAGGGAGATCGAGAGTCTACAAGGTCGGCTGACGGGTTTACGCCAGCATGGCGAGAAGATTACATTAAAGATTGTGCCGTTGAAAGACCTTTGGAAAGAGGCATTGCGAGACGGCAAGACACTTGCCGCATGGGCACTATATAACGGCCTGAAACAGGATGGAAAGATTTGAGAACGGCTCAGCCTTGTAGCCAAAGTCGATAGGAAGGTTGGCTCCTGCAGTTTCTAGATGATGGTGTATCCGCCTGTTGATAGCAAGAAGTGGAGGATGTTAGGGGTGGATTTTGAGTTAACACCAAGAAAACTCATCTATAAGCGTTTGTCGACACGAACGGTATCCTCGATCACGTCTATATGCAGGACGCAGCCAAATACACCAAAGCCGTGAATGAGGCGCGCAATTAAAGCTTCAGCTTCTTCGCCAGTTCAATGCCTTCTGCTAACGTTCCCACGCGGGCATCAATGGCATATCCCTCGGCCTCGAGTCTCTTCAACTCAGAGAACAAGGTACTCAGGGGCAGTGTGAAGCACTCGATGAACTCATTGTCCTCGAGTTGGGGTTTAGGATTCTGATTTTCAGGAAGCGACAGATCCACACGCACATGAACCATATTCAGATTAGTGTTACACATCCCCGGATCTGCGATACCTTCGATCAGTTGTCTTGCATCAGGCCTTGGAGGGAAGAACCCGGTCTTGATCACGAAAAATTGCGTGTAGTCTTCAATGCGTCACTCACCATTAAACATGAGAGTGCTTGTCTGCTCTGCCACTCCCACATAGCCCGTCTCCTCCTTGAGCTCGCGCACCGCACATTCCTCAACGGTCTCCCCGGCGTCGACGAGACCCGCTGGGACTTCGATGACCACTTTGTCGATGGGCGGCCTGTACTGTTTCTGCAGCAGCAATTCAGGGCCAGTTGGCTTGTCGAGGATAGTCACGATTCCCACGCCATCGACATCGCAGTCCGGTGGCCGAGTCTGTACCAGTCAGTACTTCCACGTAATACTACTCAAGATTCCTCGACCATGAAAGATGACTTGCTACTCAAGTAAGGAGAGGCAAGCTATAAGCCTTCCGCCGAGTCACAAGGCAGACGCGTAGTGACATTGCGTCATAGCACCTTCCTGGATGTCCAGCATGGGCAGGAAGAACCATATCAAGACTCGTACAGGAACCGCTCTGGGGGTTAAAGTAAAGTGACCAACCCACCTGTCTCTCCGCCGACTCCCAAGTCCTTTCCACACCATTTGGATCAGTGTACGTGGTCAGGACTAATCTGGTCCATTTGGCATTACTGTTTTCCTATCATGTGAATCAGCCCATACTTCTTTGTTTTCCACACAAGGAGGTAATTCCAGTTGAAAAGAAGGGGTCAGCGCGAACATTGCGCCATGAATAATACACCGAATTTAAGCTGCACCCCCACAACATCAATTACATACCAATGGAGCTCGTGATATGAATTTTGACTTGGCGTACTTGGGATCGGACCCGGACCCGGACATCTTTGGTCTAGGTGAACGTAAGGTAGCAATGCAAGTTGAGGCAATTGCAGTATACTGGAAATAAGAAAAGAAGACTTGAGCCCTTATCTCTTCAGATGGCGATGGTATAATGAGAGATTTATGAAGTCAGGTTTACGACCTGCTGACTGGAGCTATATATGTACACAGTCGATGGAGCATGAAGTATGGAGTATGGAGAAACTACTCCGTATGCCTTGGACGATTGGAAAGGAGGGGCTAGACTAAGCCCCTTTCAGATAGAGATAGGGCCAACCCTGGTCTTATCTCATTCAATATGCATGAAGACAGACAGACAGACATTCTTCAAGTGACCACGAACCGATATCATCATGTGCTGCTTGCTAGCGGAAAAACCCTATCAATCTCTTTGGAATATGCTTACACGGGCGCCGTGAAAGGCAAAACTCTCTAAGCTGCTCTACAGCGTACA